AAAGCTCTCAGGTCGTCATGTAAGCACATTTAGGAGCAAAGCAAGATATGATGATTAAGGCTCGCGCCATCATTTGTACTGAAATCCAAAGTAAGGCATTGCAAAGAGAGTGTATTGCTCTATCCGATCATGTTTTCTTATGAGGCGCGTTGCGTTTGTGTGTATATAGGTGCCTGAGTCACGCTAAACCAATGCTTGTTGCCTGTCTGCTGCGTTTCTGTCCTGCTGTCGCCACAATCTTTCTCAGCCCCATGGTTAACCTCTCTGCTACACCGCTTGTTCAAATCATGGACACTTCTATCAATTTATGATGCGAGGCTTCACACCTTCTGACAGAGGCATCCAAATGGGCTAGGAGTACTTATTTTCACTCGGGTCTGTCGGCTTTGGACCCTTCTTGCAGAGCATCGAAGGATTATGAACAGGACGCGGTCAGCGCAATGAACACGGTAAGCTTTTGACATCATTCCATCAGTAACAAGTGCCTTACTAGTAGTAACAAGTGCCTTACTAGTAGTAACAAGTGCCTTACTAGTAGTAACAAGTGCCTCACTAGTAGTAACAAGAAGCTATTAGAATCAAGTTAAAACAGCTTTTGTCGTCACCGTGTCATGCGCCGCCATGAGGATGCCCTTCTTCTTCCGTGCGCCGTGTCATCATGGGCCGTTGCGGCGCCATGAGATTCCAACTCAGCACTTCTCTGGCCCAGTTTGAAAGGGGAACCAATACAAAATTCAAGGGGAAATCGATGAAACAGTTGGAGCTTCCAATTGGCAATTTTTTTCCAAGGATGCAAACAGCATTGAGACTGTCGACCCAGTCAGTTCAAGACACAAGAGATGGTTCAATTAGTTATTCAAAGAAGAGTTACGTTGCCAGGCCATGAGTTGTCTTGAGCACTTATGTTGGCTCATGAGTGCTGCAGGAGCAACCCTCTTTCTCGGCTCACAGATTGACTGCATTTAGTCTGGTGAATGTCCATTCCTGCAGGGCTGCGGGCTGCAGGGCGCTAGCCGCTGGCGGGGAGCGGCTCAAATTTGATTTCTCCTTTGTGTCGGTTGTGGATACAAGCTAAGCAGTCCGTCAAAGTCTTTGATTCACGCAACTCTCAAAGGAGATCCTACAGTGAAGAGAAGGTGAGCCCTTTGGCAGTCGTGGTCAAGAGGCTTTGACAAGTTGCCACGATGAGCACCAAGCTGGAAACAAAGAATTTCAAGTTGCCACGATGCCGCTCACCTCCAACTTCACTTGAGTGAGACCCATGTGCACACCGAACTGAGGTGACGCAAAAGCTGACGTTCCACACAAGCATGGCTGACATGTGTGGAGTGAGAGGACGAGCCAGGTGTCTCCAGAAGTTCAGCTTCGCAAACAGGCAGGCATGACTAGCGAGTCTACGTAGTTCATTCAGTGTGCTACATAGTCTACATAGTTGCACAACCTTCCCAGCCAAGAAAGCGAAGAGCAGTCATCTGGTGACATCACATGAAACCGCGGATGGCTGCAGAGGCAGCTAGAGACAACTCCTGGGCGCTTTCATATTGGGTTGAGATTCACATATGAGTGCTGGGAATTGAAAGCTGTCCTCACCCATCCTCATCCTCATCGTCAGCCTTGGAATCTCAATGGTCATATTATGGCTCAGAGTGCCAACTCATCTCTACATCGCTAAAACCACTAGAGCAAAGTCGGATTCATCGGGTGCAGAAAGGTTCTTTACCGTCCAAATGTGTGGCTTCATGCAATGTCTTACATTGGGCTTCTTGCCAGAAGCATCGCAGCTCTTCTGAAAGCGCTGCCCTCAGTGTTGTCCAGAACATCCTGCACAAGCTGGCCAGGATGTTACTCTTGTGGGCCCAACAAGACGATGCAGAACATCCTAGAAACTGGTGCAAGATAGAGACTCAAGACTGTCAGGATGACACTAGATAAGTTGTTCTTCCCTGCAGCGGGGCAGGCTACTAGTATCTTGGACGCAGGTTGTAGCGGCTAGGCCTCAGGCTTAATGATTTGGCTTCTATATGTCTTAGGGAAACTTAAGCATGGGAAACTTGAGTGTTCTAAAGGAGGAAAAGTTGTTTTTTTCAAAAAAATACCAGGCAAGGGTCGAAACATGTCCAACATCGCTTGCTTTGTACAGAACAGTTATTGAGACGCAATGTGCATTCTGCAACTTAATAGACTCGACATCGTCATGGCTTTTTCTTGTCAAAACATCTTAAAAGCTGCACCAAAAAAGACTCGCAATGCCTCTGGCGCCAGTGCTCTTATGAGCTCCACATTTTCGTGAACCCTGCGCCAGCACAGCAGTCACAGCTTTGTATCTCTCTGGAAGCTTTCCTCGTCAACCGTAACAGCTGTCAACTGGGCTGGAGAACTAATCGCCATCCACGCATGAAAAGCTATGCCTCTTTCCCGACAAGCCCACCTAGATGGTCGTCCTTCTCTGGGACCCATTACGCAAGCCTTCATTCTCAATACACGGCGCTTCTCTGTTCGTTGTCAGTGGAAAGCTGATCATATAAAGCTTCTAGGCCTTGAGGTTTATGACAACTTCCGCGAATTCGCCGCCAGTGATTCTGACGAGAAAGCCTGATGATGAACTCAAATCATCCGCAACAGCATCATGCTTTGAAGACTTGACTTCTGTTGAGTCTTTCAAGACTTGATGTTTGCCAATCTAGAACTGCAGCTCTATTCTAAGATGAGGGCCATGGTGAAAGAGACCAAGCTGCTTCAGCTCAGCTTCTACCCTGGGGCTTTTGCTTGTGCGCCAAGTATAGAGGAAGGAATGCTATGATCGAGACATCATATAAAAAAAGAGAAGACAAAAAAAAAAAACAGAGCTCCACCATAAAGCTGCGGGATGTTCTGGACTGCCCTCATCCTTGACCTGATATTGGAACTCACTCGGGTCTAGGAAGTTCAAAAGGTCATCCCAGGAGCGCACCAGGATCTCTATGCCTTCTGGCAAAGGTCCAACAACCTTCGACTTGTTTCGAGACATCGATCATCAACGTGTGCCGCAACGATTGTACATCAGCAATGTACTGATAATACTACCCTGTGCAGCATTGTACATCAACAACCGTTTCCGCCTGTGTTCTGCAAAAAGAAAGTACGTCTTATGTTTGGTTCTTTCTGTTCCCTTTCCAGAGACCGGTGCGAATTCAGTCCATTTACTCTGCGGTCCATGCTCAGACAATCAACTAACAACGAGCGAAGGCTTGGACAAAAGTGACAAAAGGGAAGGTTTTCAAGCTTTTTGAAAGAAGTTTCTAATAGCAAACATTGTTACTACTAGTAAGGCACTTGTTACTACTAGCGTGGCACTTGTTTCTGATAGCGAACGGTTTTTCTTGTATCTCATCACGCTTGCGGACTCTCTTTGTCTCTTTGAGGTCCTCTCCTCAACTAGCTGCCCATTGGAAGGCAGGTCTACCGCCGCTCTGTATGCAAACCTGCAAAGAGTTTTGCAATAAAACCACTCCAAGACAAGTGCCCATTTGTTATGTCTTCACTTGGAATGTAAGAGCCTAGAAACGAAGAAAAAGAGGACATGGTGACATGGAGAGGCATATAATCGTTTGATTGACAGGAAAAATAGAAAACGATGACTGAGGGCTCTTCCCCTGCATCAGAAGTCCCATCTCTAGCGTCCGGACACCAGGCCTCACATGGCTGCTGATTCGTCCAATTTAGATTTGAAGCATGTGTGGAGTCCAGTGTGGAGGAGTGACTCCTGCTTAGGGATGTGTGACCAAAACCGGTTTGCCACACTTGCAACTGGAGTTCAAAAGCAGTTTTGTATCAGTAGCTGAGTCAGCACCTGTCAACCTCATCGTCGTCATCTTCGAGCTCCAAATGTGCAGCCAGAGGTGCCTCACATGTTCTTTGAGAGGCGAAGTGAAAACAACGCACCAAGGCACCTTTAAGGCAAAGTGAAAAGAAATTACATCAAGGCACCTCTATGATGGTGGAGGCCAAAGGCACAGCATTCTGCAAAGGGCACAGCCGCGCAACGACGAGACGAAGAGCTGACAAATGAATCACATTCTGCAAAGAGCACAAGGACTATGTCTGGAGGCCGAGTCCTTGCCTGGTCAGCCCAGCTCAGTCGACGGGCTGGCACAAGTAACAAAGTGGCAAGTGGACAAAACAGTAGTTGGAGGCCATCGCCAGTAGGTTGGAGGCCATTGCAAATAGAGACGGCATGATATTGGCAACGAGTAGTTAAAGCAGTTTGGACCTTGTTGCCCAGGGGGCAGGCTGTGAGTAAGTAGATAGCTACGAGGTTACCAGAGGCGAGTAAGTAAGAGTACTAAGCTCAAGTAGTTACCAGTATCTTGGGCGCAGAAGGAGAAGGTCTCAAGTTTGATTTGGAAACTCTAGAGAAGAAAAGAAGAAAGTAAGATGTAGAGGGATTGTTCGAATGACATTTTGAATTCCTAGCATTCTAGTTTCCAGTGGGCAGTGAAGTCCAACACCCGGGACCCAAGACCATCAAAAGTGCCGCACCTGTCAGCGGCTGGCTCTCCGCCATTGTGACCATTTGAGCCTGTCGCATTCACTGGCATTGAGGGAGTTCAGGTCTTCGAATTCAAGTATCTTAATTATCTTGACAAAATATCTAGAAACATATCACCTGTCCCTTTTCTGACTTTGTGTTTCTTGCATCGAAACACTCGCACTTAGCTGCACCTCGTTGAGGCCTTGTCCTTGAACATGTGATGATTTCAAGACAAAAAAAAAGCAGCGGACGAGCATTTTCAATCTGGACATGAGATTGACTCTTTGTCGTGCTGAGCAGGGCAAGAGCTCTTATGTTGGAGGTCGTAGCTATATAATAGGTTGGAGCTAAGTTAGAGGCCATTGCAAGTAGAGACATTACTCTTCCTTTCTGTACTCGCTTTAGGCTGGAACGTTACTATCCCACGGAGAAAAAAAGAACTGGACCAGATCTGCTGGAACACATTCGCCACTCAGTGTCACTCCTTGCATTTTCGAACAAATCAATCGGCACCACACGGGCTACAGCTACAATCAGCTGCTTCAGCAATGCTGCTCACTTTGGCAACATAACCTATTGCACGCAGTTTTGTCTGGCTTCACATCCTCAGAACAATTTTGAAGCCATTGAATATAATAGCAATGTCCTCCAACCTACTGGCGATGACCTTTTAGTGCCATCCAATCCATGGTGTTTCCACATCTCCGCCTGTTTCCGTCTGCGGTCTTAGTTGCATCCAGGGCTGTGTCCATCGGACTGTTGCATCTGAGGATTCTTGCGGCTTCTGCATTTGCATTGCTTTGGCTGCTTGCTTGAAGCGGGGCAACTGTAGCTGGGCCTGAGATCAAACCAATACGATTGAAATCAGCCACAAGGAGCAAAATGACCAGTTCCACCAGGCAAGACTTACACACACACACACTCATGGAAATGCGTACTGACTTGATAGCGGTGCCACACGCCGGCCTAGGGTTCCAATTCCTAAGGATACCGGTAGGGAACCAGCGAATCCTGGGGGTCTTCAAACGGAGAAATGGCCCAAAGAGGAAGAAAACGAACGACGGACGAACAGGCTGACGACGTTCCGCTCACATCTGCCGCTTGAGGTTCTTGGCTTAGCCTCGTGCCATTTCAGAAAGAAGGAAAATAGCAGGTACGTGAGAGTGATCAGCTCTCATATCCCGTGCGTCAGGTAGCTTCGTTGGACATGGTCCCTGAACGCACGCCATGTCCCCCTGCTGCAAAACGTAAAACAGAAGTCAAAACGAAAACAATCCGAAAGGGTCCCTATGATTCCAAGGGTTACACACACACACGCCTCCCCGAGGGGAGGCGAGAAGCTAAGGTGAGGGCCAATGTGCACGTGTGCGCGCACAAGAGACAAGAAAGTGAAGACATGACAAGAGGACGAGACGGGACAAAAGTGCGAGTGGTTGAAATGAAAGGGGAACCAAGTGCACAGGGACAACCGATGAAGCTCACCTCATTGTAAAGACCTGGGCGACCTGAAACCTGTGTTAAAATGTGTGTAGAAGTGCACGTACACACTAAGGCCGGGACCAATGTGCGCGCAAACGAAGAAAAGGATGAGATGACCAGACGTGAAGACAGGAGGACATGAAAGAAAAGAGGAAACAAAAGTGTGTGAAGGGGAAGGGATGAAAGGGGAACCAAATGGAGGGGACGAGAACCGATGAAGCCGAACCTCATTAAAACGACCTAGGAAAACCTGCCTCGTTTGAATGTATACGCTGTATGTGCACCCAAGGTCTCGACAGGTTCCAATGAACCTTGAACAAACTTCGGTCGCTGCGACCACGTACGGCTTGCCCGAAGGCTGCCACCTCTGACCGCTACGGTCACGTACAGGCATGAGCCAACTTGGAATTCCAAAGATGGGACAAAAATCATCGTACGTTCGGCCTAGGCCACCTGCTGTCCGCTTCGGACACGTACATCTCCAAAGCAAGGGAGATAACGACAAACCCCCGTTCAACGGGTCCACCGGAGGCACTCTGCGGGCTCATCCCGGGTTGGCACGTGGCCAAGCACACTCATGGAAATGCGTACTGACTTGATAGCGGTGCCACACGCCGGCCTAGGGTTCCAATTCCTAAGGATACCGGTAGGGAACCAGCGAATCCTGGGGGTCTTCAAGCGGAGAAATGGCCCAAAGAGGAAGAAAACGAACGACGGACGAACAGGCTGACGACGTTCCGCTCACATCTGCCGCTTGAGGTTCTTGGCTTAGCCTCGTGCCATTTCAGAAAGAAGGAAAATAGCAGGTACGTGAGAGTGATCAGCTCTCATATCCCGTGCGTCAGGTAGCTTCGTTGGACATGGTCCCTGAACGCACGCCATGTCCCCCTGCTGCAAAACGTAAAACAGAAGTCAAAACGAAAACAATCCGAAAGGATCCCTATGATTCCAAGGGTTACACACACACGCGCACACACACACACACCAATCACCGCATGCAAGCCACCCGTGGCCAGCCATTCAACAGCTTCTTTCGTGAATCATGAAGACACAAGCTGTGAACAGCTTCATGAGCATTGATTGCTTTGCAACATTGGGCAAGTGCCATTACAATCTGCTTTGCAACAGGTTGCGAGTGCCGGACCATGACAAATGCTGAGGGGTTTCGAGCTTCATGTACAGGCAACTCAGCCGCCACAGCCTGGCTCCAGTTTGCTGAAAGCCCTGACAAATCCCCGAGAGCTTCGACGAAAACAAACAAACCATGTCATGTCATACATAACATGAAACGGCTTCAGCAAGTTCCAAAGAGCAATCAGCAAGGTTGGCTGCCTTTCCGGCTGTCCCGTTCAGTCGTGCACAAGATCGTCAAAGCAGCTGTTTGACGACCCCAAAAAAGTGAAAACAACTGCCTGCAATGGGAGGGGAAGCTGTCGCAACTGTTGTGCACATTGCGCATCTAGGCCATAACGAATGATCAAGGCCTCCACCGCAGGATGGACCTGACAAGGAATGCACTTGTCGATTCTTCCCACGAACTCAGAAACCGAATTTGCCTGCTGTCCATTGGGAAGCATCATTGTCACCAGTGGCAACGATGGCGTGGTGTGAGCCGATGACATCATGGCATCACCTTACTCCGCAGCATGGAGTCCCTTTCTCTAAGTGCCTATTGTTGAAGGAAAGGGAGTGCTGAGGAGTTTGCGAACTCGTGAGATGAGCACAGCAGACCTAATAAACAAAGGCTTAGTCACACGCTCTTTACATGGAAAATGAGCTCTCTCGAAAGAAGTCAGAGAAAAAGATGTTGTTGATCTTTCTATAAATGATTATAAATATGTGTTGTTTTTTTAGTTGTTTCATGTCCTCAGGAGGAAGCGGATCACGTGCTCCCATCAAAGAGCCTCTATCTAGCACTTGCCGCTGCAGGTTCCGCCTTGAAGGACCAAGCGGAGCAGGGCCGTGTCTAGTGGCGATGCCCTTTGTTACTAGTAGCTTCTTGCTCCTAGTAGTAAGGCCAGGAGCCCCAGTAGCGTTCTTGCTCCTAGTAGCGATGCCCCTTGCTCCTAGTAGCTTCTTGTTACTAGTAGTAATGCACTTGTCACTAGTAGCGTAGAGGGGCCATTGGGGCGTTTGCGGTAAGGAGCGAAGCTTGGTTGCAGCATGGCTTTCGACCTCAAGGGCTCTTGACTCAGAACTGCAGTTTTGCCGTCTCTTCCTGACTACCTTGTTTCCCATGGCAAAGCTGCAAACGTGTACAAATTTGCTTTTGCTGCTGTTCAACACCAAATTGTTCCAGCTTGGGTGTTTTTCTCTGGAGGCTTCACCCTGCCAGCAAATGGAATCATTAAGATTCTAGAATCTGAGTAGGGATCTGGCCGTGTTCATTGACAAGAACATTTCGACTTCTGGATTTGGTTCAATTGGTGCCTCATGTGACAGGACCCGGGTCCAAACTCCATTGTTATTTGCACATTTCAAGACTAAAAGACAATCTTCATTGCCTGCTTCATGGCTGCCAGCAACGCAGCAGCACTTGGAAGCGACAACCTATTTTTTGAAAACAGAATTCTCAAGGCGTTCAAAGCGGCAGCCAAAGAAAGCTTAGGTTCTTGGCGCTAGTAAACTCGAAAGAGTCGGCAGCCAAACACAAAATGTACTTAGTCACTTGGGGATCTGGGTGTTCGACGGTGTATTTTGGGCTTTTGGCCTTAAGCTTGTCAACTCAAAGCACGAGGTCTGTGATCCCATCCGAGCGGCTGGGATGGTATCATGTTCTGCTTGTCGAAGGCATGACTCCTCATCAAGCGTAGTGGCGTAACAAAGCATAAACATTCGAACGTCAACTAAGAAACATTGAAACGTGCTGCAAGCTTGCCGGAACAAGGCATCGGTCACAAGCGCTTGAGTGAGCAGGGGTCGACCAAAGAGGATGAAAAATAGCCTCTAGTGACCCAGTGATACGCACACCAAGAATTGAGGCCCGCCAACGAGTTTTGGCACAAACTCTCTGCGCATTGCTGCCCTTATCCATCCCTCTCATCAAAGGCTTTGAGCAGAAGAGTGGCCAAGTCTTGAGCCCCTCTTCATTCTGTCTCCGTCCAAAAATGTTTGTTTTTCCCCAGATAGCGAAAGCGAAGCTATGGGATTCTTACTTCAAATAACAATGAGTTGCCCGTGCGCGTTTTCGAGACAGGTTGCTGGTGCTGGTGCTGGGTGCCGGTGTTGGTGCTGGTGCTGTGAGCTGGCTGTGCTGCTGGTGCTGGGTGCCGCGCGCCAGTGCGGGTGCTGGTGCTGGGTGCCGGGTGCCGGTGCTGTGTGAGCTGGCTAGGTTGGCGGTGGTGCCGGGTGCCGGTGCTGGTGCTGGTGCTGTGAGCTGGCTGTGCACGTGGTGGAGACAGGTATATCTAAGGACATCTAAGGACGATTTACATGTTTTGCATTGCTAGGGATTCTTGGAGGGTTGTTGTCAATCTCATCTTCACCTCAACACCTACGGTGTATGCAGGACTTGAAGCCACTCCTGCGTTTCCCCCGTCGGAAGGGGCAAGGATTAGAAGCATCGGTGGCCTTGTGCCGACTAGGTTGGTTGGTTTGTTTGGTTGGTAAATAGAGCTGGTAGAGGAGATACACCCAAGTGTGTCAAAAAGGTTTCTGTGTATGCTTTGGAGCTGCTGACATTGCAGGGTGCTGTCCAATGTTTTTGCTATCTGGGGTCTATGCTGGTGTAACTTACAGTATCTTAGCCCGGGGGTAGGCCGTAGAGGTAGTAGTTAGGTAGCTAGTACAAGAGGTAGCTAGTACCAGCAAGGATCTACTAGTAACTGGACGCAGGATAGCTCACGCTTCCTCAAGGAAGCTCTACCCCCACCCTAAAGGCGGCGGGGGGAAGCTTCAATGAAAAAGCGCTCGCACTAGTGATTTGGTTCCTAGATTTTTAGGAAAACTTGACTTGAAACGACCAATAAGGTGAGGTGCTCTGTGACGAGACGAGGTGAGAGTAGGATGAGGCGAGACCTGGATACTCAACAAGCCCAGCAAATTTCGAGAGGAATGAACTGCGGCATCGAAAAATGAACACAAAAAAATGTACTTTTCAGGAAACTAACTCCTCATGAATGGAAAAGCACAGAGAATCGAAAGAATTGATTATTTCGAGGACTACCCAGAATAGGAATGGCTCACAAATGTAGGATGTAGGAGGAGTTGCAAGACATTCAAAGCAAAGAATCTCCACTTTTCAGCCTCTCCAAATGTCGCTTTGGCTTCTCTTCTCGTTCCTTGTCAACAAAAAATGCCACAAAACAAAAGCGCACTTTCCTTTCTGAGTCCGGCTGCTCGAGAAGACCTCGGTGCTTCTTTTCGCTTCTCCTTGGCAATCAATGACTATTGGGTCGCCCCTTTGCTTGCTTTCCTTTCTTACCTTGGCTTCCTTTCCGGCCATGTTGCTTTGTCTCGGTCTCGCTCACGATCTCGTCCCCTGCAAATCAAAAACTAGACAACAGCATGATGCTTTAGATGTCTTAAGTTAAAGGATGATCAATGACTTCACATCGATTTTGCGAACTGCAAGAGAAGCCAGGATAGTTCTCCCTCCCTGAGCTTCACTCCAAGTCTATATCTAGCAGTCCATTGCTGATCTCTTCATATGAGAGCTTTCCGGAGCCATCACGATCCATACAATCAAAGATCCGATCAAGGCGATTCAGTTGCGCTGAAGTTACCCTGTTCTGCCGCAGCATCATGTAGACTTGAAACTCAGTCTTGTTGATACGGCCGCTTCCATCACGATCAATCCGATCAAAGCGTTGGTGAGACAATCGGAGCTTGTTCTTATAAGAGCGTTGCATCTCTGCGATTGTATCGGCAACTGCCGACACCATGTTGAAAAAGGCAACAACACCAACACACATGAAAATGGACGCAAAAACGCGTCCGAACATACTGTCAGGAGTGTAATCTCCGAAACCAACGGTTGAAAACGTGATCACAGCCATGTAGACAGCATCCACGACGCTTTTTGTACTCCCGCCGGTTTCTGCGCAATGATCTGCTTCGCAACCTTCCACCTGAGTGTAGCCATAGGAACATGTGCATCCCTCATAGAGTACGAAAAAGAGTACCCACAGAATGATTAAGAATGACAGAATCAAGAATGCAGCGATCAAATTGTGCAAGGAGGCACCGCAGTGGTGACCCTTCGAGGGTGAAATCAACTCTTCCACTCGGTGAAGACTCTCATCTACTCGAACACTAGCGGAGACCAGCAACTCCTCAGTCACATCGTTGACGATTTTTGCCACCAAAACTGTGCCCAGAAGTACGTAAAGTGTCATGAAGATTTTCTCCTCAGTTGTAACGGTTATGTCGCCGTACCCAATAGTGGTGACTATCTGCACCACTACGTACAAAGCTGTCAAAGGATGCCATCCCTGATTTACTGTCAAAAATGTGATACCGAAAAAGCCATACAGAAGCACCAAGACAAGATTGGTCCACCCAGGGTAACGAATCCAAAGAGGAATTTGATCATCGGGCGAAACTTCAGTGTCATCTTCGCTTGATGACTCCTCCACACAAAGCTGCGCCTCCATTGCTTTTCGTTAATATGCTGACATGTCTGCACTGCCTTCCTTTCTTCTGTAGCAGTGCAGCAGTGCGGGAACTTTGATTGAATGTGTTGCAATTTGCATCGGCGGAAATGTGCCTTTTTGAGGGTCTTTGAGAGTCTTCGAGAGTCTTCCTACAATGCAAAGCACCTGGGGGCTTCTGTGGAGTACATGACCTGATGAGGAGCTTTTGTTGCTGGCAGCATGAATGGCATTCGAGAGTGAGTACGATGAGTACAACTTGACACAACTTTGGCCTCTCTCTCTCCCGTGTGGCATCTTTGATGCGGTCTCTGGCTTTCTGTCCTTAGATTGAATTTGTACTTGCATTTACATTTGCACTTGCTGCATTCGCTTGGATCTCTTGCGTTGGCTTTTCGCGACGGCTGCAATTGCTGGCAAGAAGCTTTCCCGGTCTCGCTCAACATCCCAATCTCCAGTCTTCCCTTCCCTGGACAAAAAAAAGAAATGACTTCGTTGAACAGCAATTGCTGCAATTGATGTAGTCCAAGTATGGCTCAGAAGCTGGCTTCTCCCTTCGCTCATTTTTGACCTTTGTGTAGAGTGTGGTTACAGGAATGGTTGTAGCCTCTTCTGAATTACTAATTCTAAGACGATCTGATTGCTCACCAAGCTACATGTGGGCCACAATGCTTTTGTGCTTGCCTTGCCTTCTTCTTGTCTTGATCCCTATCTTTTTCATTGTCTTTCTCCTTAACCTTGTCCTTCGCTTTATCTTTGTCAGCTTTTCTGGCCTTCTCTTTGACTTTGCTGCTTTTGCTTTTGGGAGTCTCTGCTTTCTCCTGAGCAGGCAACCAACCATATCTCACAGCCAGGGGCGATACACTGATTGGTTCGAACCTTCACTTCATCTTCAAATTTTGTGACTCTTGGGGACCTGCAACAAGCAAGATCAATCAACCCGCACATCAAGTTTGCGAGCCGGCCAGCTTAGGCCTCGAGCGCTCTCGCCCAGGTGATTTGTTTTCTGCCTACACAAATACGACTCAAAAAACCACACGAAACAGTGGCACTTGAGAATGTGGGCACCTGCGCTCGAACATCTTTGCTGTCAACCGGCCTAAGATAACTCATGTCTGCAGGAAAAACTACCGTTCGTTAGTCACATCAATTAAATTGCAATTGCAGTATATTGGCCAAGTCTCAAGACGGCATCTGGCACACCTGACAATGAAGGGGTGTACTGAAATCAAAACAATTCATGTATCAACTGATTGCAAATGGCATTGCCCTGCCTTCAAACGGGTTTTCTTCCTTAGTAACACAGCAGCAAGTTTGGGCATAGCGTTTGTTACGTTGCAGGATCAGCCCTGTGCCATCTTCAAGATCCGCCAGCGCAGTTCACTTCCACCGAATCTGTGCGCAACGATCTGATCTTCCTCATCAACCTATCTGGAACAGTGGAAACAAACAAGAATAGAATTTTGGTTGCTCATGGAAAAGCAACGTTTGTATGCACCCTGCTGCGGATTAATAAGCCTCAATAGTGCGTCTGGATGTGGATGCATCGTGCAATGGAGAGTCAATGGCCTGCGATGAAAAATATATATGTGACATCTGCACCAACTTTATTTGAATTGCCAGTCATGAAACTAAATTAAATGTTCACACCAAGTCACGGAGTTTCCAGTTGATTTTGTTTTTGATAAAACCCTGTGGCACACTCTCTAATCCAAAACTGAGAACCCAAATCTGCCCTAGTTTTCCGTGAGCAATCTCTACAGTCTCTACAGTAAGCCTGATCAAGTCAAGCCTCCCGTTTTCCCATACACCGATTCGGACCTCTTGACCACCCCGCAGCACCTGTAGATTGACAATTTGACGCAACAAATGCTCACTGATTCACACTCGGTTCACAGCAACGTTGCACCTTCAAAAAACCAGGCCGCTCAACCTGGCATGAGTCTCCACACAACGAGCAGTAGGCAAACTACAGTGGTCGAAGGCCGGTAACAGAAAACCCGTCAAGTTCCACATAATTACTTGGAAGGGCATTGCGCTGGTATTGAAGCTCTGCAGCTAGCAACAATCCAGACACAACAGCACACAAGTTCTGCTAAGCCTCTATGTTGAGCCTCATACTTTGTTGCAACGCTGCGACTGCGACGCTGCGTTGCTTGCACCGTCGACCCTAAGCTATCTCTAGGTGCGGCGCACAGCCATGATCAATTAAGTTGTGTTTGGGGCCATGTATGCATCAGTGCGTTTCTTGGAAGGCCTCCGAAGTGGGTGACATGTCACGAACCTTCAGGCACCAGCGTAAGCAGGGTCCCATAGACCTTTGCTTTTGAAACCAAAAACTGAAATTGCGTAACCCATGCGGAGGGACCTACACCCCAGCAGTCCGACATCTCATTCAAAAAACTTGTTACTGTCAGGAATATGCACAACAATGGCCGCAACAGAGGTGCGATGGCAAAGGCTTCAAACCGTCAGTGACACCACATCCCTCCACACTCCACAACTTGTTTTGCGACGCTGCTGAGTTCGAGGCCCAAGCTTCCTGAAGGCCTGAAGGGTGGCAGGACCTTCACCCTGCAGCTTGCAATTCCATTTGCACGCCTTGAGCTCAGCTGCATGTTTCATCTTCAACTCGACGAACTCATGGATGATGAGAATTCGTTCTGGCCCTAGGCACCGCGCCTCGCCTAGTGAAAGCACTTGGGGCGCTCAATTCTACCCCTTCTATTTTGTCCGTGTTCCGCGGCGGCTCCGTCTGCTTGAAGACGTGCTGCTTGGGCGTCCTCCAGTCGTGTGACTTCAGGCTGTTCACACTGCCCTCTCTGCGGCTCGGTCCGCTAGATGTTGCCACATTTGACCTTGCGCCGGTCTTCATCTGACAATAACCTGAAGAGTTCTCTCCCCCAAGCCCGTTAGCGGCAGCGTTTACTCGCTGGTCGGGTGGCATTGGTTTTGATAGGTCTTTGGCGCACTGCGCGCCATTTTCCCGACACACAGCCAGTTCTGTCGCTGCACTTTTTTCCATCCACGAAGTCCTGCGCACGGTCCCTCTTGCGGCTTGCCGTCTGCAAGCATGACGATGGCCGGCTCAATGAACTCATGCGCCCAGAGCCTTTACTGACGCCACATAGGTTTCCTCATAGCACGTGGCCTTCCCTACGGCCACTGCTGAGCGGCGCTCCTGACACGCGCGTACCGGCGCTCGAACCTCGCGCGCGCGCACGCGCGCGCGTCGGAGCCAGCCCAGATCTCTGATTCACTGTATATGGTGCACGCTTCTCCACTCGTGCCCAAGGCCCATAGATCTCTGGTTGGCTCAGCTTAACACAACTCCTGCAAATTTGATCTTCTTCATCACCCTCGCTCTGTAGGGTTGGAAAAGCACGAAGTCCGGATAGGAAGCTTAAGCTTGCCCGCTTTCAAGCAAAGACTTCAAGCCTGATAGTTGTTCAGTCGTTGGCTCGAGGTTTGGAGGCAGTCACCAACCTAAGTGTTATACCTGCTGTACATCCTGTTCTGCTCCTTTGACTTACGAGGTCCACCTCAAAGGACCTGCGACAGCTTCACCTGGTGAAGGTGCCATGTCCGTCCCCAATCACTGCCGTCTCTGTGGGCTCGGTGCCTAGTCCAGAGGCGACTCACTGCGCCCTCGACACCACTCCAAAAGCTGCGAAAATAGCGCACTTGCGTGCGTGTCTTGAAACTCTGTTCTTTCCTGCCCCTGGGAGGCTGCATCTGCTGCGCATCATCTGTTGTTTTCATTCGAAGCTTTCTTCACTGGTCATTAAGGAGTGAACGAGGCCGGCCACTTCGAACAGAGTGGATCGAAAAAGCCAAAGCAAAGAACCACTCCATGTTCATTCTCCCTTCATCATTAAAAAAGAGGACGATGGGTGGTAATAAGGGTGAAAGGACATGACCACGATCGGAGCTTTGCGATCGCACTTGCGAACTTGGAAAAAGAAGAAACGCACTCCGTGATGTTTCATTGCATGTCTCAGCTAGGCCCTAGGCCATTGTATTGCGTCATCATATTGTATAGATTGTTCTCTTTATATCGTATCTTCTCGTATCATTTCATACCAGATCACGTCATATCAAATCATATCATGTCTGTTTGTGTGTGTATGTTTTTCTACATGTATATATATATATATACGCGGACAGACTTTTGGCCACTAAAGGGCCTGTGGTGAACAGTGCATTGCATGTGTGGAGTTGAGCGCATTCTATTTGTCACTCCTCCTTTGCTCGTGAGGATTAGGTTTTCGTGCCCCTTGAGCAATCCTCCATCTAAAATGGCAAATCGGGCGAGTCCATGAAGGGATAGTGAATGTCCATGAGCTTATACATTTCTAACTTTCTTTCATGATTCCCTTCACGGTCTGCATCTCGCCACGCCGCCTGCAGCTTCAGCTACTATGCTGCTTGGCTCGCAACCCTGACCTCGCACCTGGCTTGTCATACTCAGCCAGTGCCTTCATTTCATCACTTGAAATCCAGGAACTTGTTGCCTGGCTCGTTCTTGGGTCTTCGGCTTGCGGTGTTGGCGTTGGCATATCTTCATATGCCCACTCTACTTGCTGCGGTTCAGTCGTCTCCTGCATTGGCATGTCTGGCGCCGCCGGTCCCTCATCTTCACTCTCTGGCTCTCGAGGTTCCACATAGGCCAATGGCACCTGGACGATCTCTCCACTGTCCAGGCAAATGGTGGCCATTTCTTCTCCCTCCATGTTCTCATCCTCGGACCCATTCTCTGCCTGTCGATGGCCAATCAGCTCACCCAGTTTTCGTAGGCTGCCTGTTGTAGGCATGACATCGTTGAAGCCAACTCCTTGATGGTGTAGGACACGTCTGGCCAAAAAAAGATCCCACATCCAACCAATGAACGATATGTAGAGACTTGCCAGCTCAGGCTTGAGCTCCACTGTACCATCAGGTTCTAGCATTTCTTGGCCACATGGAAGCTTCTGAAGCTTAGCTCTTCCCATCTTCTCTTCATACATCTCACCATGCTCTCAGCATTGCCAAGTCCCTGGCCGCCCTGTGGATGTTGACGAACGAACGGCGGGAATCCGAAGGCCTGGTTCCCGTCGCGCAGAAGTGGGCGCCGATCAAACGAAAGGCGAAACGGAGAAGAGTGCGAGAGCGAAAGCAAATGTGAGGTCGACCACAGGTCGACGCACACAGCACCCTGAAGGAAAGGCAGCGGCCGCAACATTTTCCTTGAGCCAAATGATGTCGGTCGGATCGAACATGTTGTATGTTCTGTGTGAACCAAACGACAAAGACTGATGTACATGTATGGTGATGCTGTTACATACAAGGGGTACATAAAAGTTGACTTTCTTTCGCAAAAAGATCACCCGAAAAATATCAACTGTGGCAAAAAGGCTACTAGGGGCTCCTGGCCTTTGTACTAGGAGCAAGAAGCTACTAGGAGCAAAGGGCATCGCTACTAGGAGCAAGAACGCTATTGGACAAAAGTTTGACGTTTAAGAGTTGTGTTTTTTACTGATGTAAGGTGTTATCTTTTTATTGGCGCCTACGCCAAGCCTACTTTCTGCCTACGCGCTGAAGTTAGGATAGATACGTGGCTACAGTTTTGGAAGTTTTTTGCTGTTTTCGTCTATTGTTTTGCAAGGCGTTGGGTTCCTTCTTAGCCAGGAAGAGTTCCAAACCTTCACTTAGCCATGTCTGGGGCAAAGTCTTCCCGCACCAGTTTTCGCCTACGCCTACCCTACTTTTCGCCTACGCGGTGACTAGGCATACTGCATGTTGGTTTTGCAATATCTTGCCTGCTCCTATCCAGGTAACATTTGAAATATTGAGAAGTCATACTTATTAAAGTCCTCCTGCGTGAATCTTCTTGACTTGGAAATGCGTCGCCTACGCGGCTTCTGCCACAAAAAAATAGAAACATGCCTACGCCAGCCTACGCCCCCAAGCAGAATGCCTACATCCAACCATTTACAGGTTAACCCTTATATAGATATTTCCATCCACTTAAAAAACAAAAAATAACTCTGCTCATTTCAACTTCTGGAGCACAGTTAGACAGTTTGACTGTGCGAGAAAAGTTCTATTTTTTGGCGGTTCAAGAAAAGGGCAGCTGCTGGACTTCTCGACTACTTAGTACTTGTTGATTTTTCAAAGAGTCTAAACTATTCACGAAGAGTATTGCTTGTCACCTGTCTTCTCCGAAGAGCTCAAAGCCTTGCCATTTCCTGATGTAAAGACAAATGGCCACCTCAATATCCTTCACCCACCAGTTGCTAGCATAGGCGGACACAAGTGTCAAGAAAGCCGTTCCACCGAAATTGTCACGCTCACCCAACCCTTCCTGATAGATCGCCACACTCACAGGCCGATATCAAATGCACGATCGTGACATCACCAACCACACACATCAGTTCCACTCACAAATCGTGAGGTCGGCCCGGATCCCAGCGGAAGAGGGGGAGTGTTTTGACAAGCAGTGTTAGTTACTGCAAGGTCAAGAAGGCACATGCTACTTCTGCAACAACGCCCACTCACGCGAAGCTTGTTGCCAAAAAAAAACTGAGGGACCTTGGGGTGAACCTGCACACATAGACGCAATCAGGGGCTAACTCAGAACAAGGACTTCAGATTCTTCAGTGCAAGCACTTGCTTGGAAATATAAAGCTGCGCAAAAGCTAATAAAAGCTGTGCAACATGTGACAAAGAAATACAAAGCAATACACACAATCCGGAGTCTTCCAAAACATAGTTTGGGCCTTCCCCAAGACCGCACAGCTGAGCGAGCGCAACTCGACATCCGCAGCTTCACCTCACAGGCCAAGGCAAAAGAATGTCGTTTACTCCTGGGTTTGAGCTTCGAGCTCCAATCCATGAAGGGGAGATTGGTGCAAACATGTCTGTTCACATGGTCAAACTGTCTAAGGGACACAAAGTTATATATAACATCTCAAAGTTCGCCCTTGTTTTCCATCCTCCAAGGTTCACATGCTGCTCTGCTGGCAGCAAACGTTCCACTCTTCAATCAAGTTGGGGGGGAGGGATTCGGGACAGCTTGAGGCGGGCGTCGTCATCGAAGTTGAGTGGCAACATCTCAAAGTTCGCCCTTGTTTTCCATCCTCCAAGGTTCACATGCTGCTCTGCTGGCAGCAAACGTTCCATCAACTCCACTCCGTCCAAGCTTCTTGGTTGAAGAGGTGTCTCCACATCGTAAAGGGTAGCCGCAGTGCTTGGAAACGCAAGCTTAACCTCAAGACCTCAGGAAACAAAGCTGCAATGCTCATGACACGCTGACGTGTATTGTCGGGGACTCTCTTCAGGTAGAGCAAAGCAGCAGTTTCTTGCACATAGATCTCCATGACACGGTGGTTAAGCCAGCGACCTTTTCGTCGGGTGCATTCACTATTTTCAGTCACTTGAAGATGCCAGGTAGCACCCCCTGCACACAAAGAACCAATGTCCAAAGCCTTCAGGCTTCCAACACGCTCGGTAGGCAGCCAAAGCGCCGTCAAAACATCTTTGAATCTCTGGCGCAGGGTCTGGCCTGACCAGCGCCAGAGTTTTGAAGTTTCAGGCAAACCACCGAAGGCCATGTCCGTTACCAACAGGAGGTCAGGAACTTCGAGTTTTGCCGCCTGGTGGCGTGCACCTGACTGCCTGGTTTTTGGTTCCATGATTGCAAGCAAGGCATACTGAATGCTGTTATCTACATCACGTGGAAGCAGCAGGTTGGCTCTAGTGGCTGACAACAGCTCCCCTGCGCGAAGAAGGGCACCAAAACACAAGGACAGTGTTCCTGCGAGCGGCACCCATCCCCACAACAAACATGTTGTAACCATGGCAAGAAGGACTTGCCATGGCATTGCCACATGGTGACATGTAGGTTCGGAGGCCATCCAAGAATACGCAAGGTCCCACGAGCCTTGCATCTGTCTCCGGATGCTGGGTCTTATGGAGGTCAAATGGTTAATCGTTTCTGCATACTGGTTGTAGGGTCTTCCAGCATGGTACAGTACACGACCGAACCGGGAAACAATTGCATTGATCTCCTCGACAAACATGGTGGGTCTATCCATCAAATAATTGAAATCAATTTCTTCAGCAGGCAACCACTTCTCAAAAACACTCCAGTATTTCAGCCTCAGCTTGTTCGCGCGTTCTAAAGTTGGTCGTCCAGCAGGCAGGTAGAGGCGGCCTCATGGCTCTAGCAAGAGCTCTTGCTTGGTCTGCTGCATTTGCAGGTTCCATGGCACATGCGGGAACTACCGCGCAACTACCGGCTAAAGCAGCCCGGAGCACCCAAGCATGAGAGGAGAGTGCAGAAGGAGTGAAGGAGAGGGAAAACCAAGAAAACCAAAAAAGGAGAAGACGGCACTGGTGTGACAGAGACGGAAATTCAAGGCAACTGCCGGCGACGCAGAGGAAGACGATGAAATTGGTAATCAGGCGAGCTGGACCCTCACCTGGATAGCCCATCGCGGCATCAAAGTCAAAGCAAGAATAGTCAATGTCAGGGCAGGACGGGCATGGCTGCCCTTGTCCAAAGAGAACTGGTTCTGTGATGCGGCTAAGCCTGAAACTATTCCGGTCTGACCAACTTTTGAGGGAGGCGCGGAGTAGCAGCAACATCAGTCGTAGCCAGTTTGAACGAAGCCTCGGCAGCATAGCAATGTCCCACAACTCTTGCTTAGACATGGTCTTCCAACCACAACCAACCACTGGCTGTCTTAGTTCTCTTTCTCGAGTAGGGTCGTCTGCAATGTTAAGTCTGGTAGGGCAGAAAGGAATCGTAAGATATAGGCCAAAGGTGACCTGGCAAGCTGAAATCCTGCGAAGTACGCTAGACAAAGCAAGCGAGGCCGAGCGGCCCTTTCCCAATGCTCCTCTGCATACATTTGAGTCAACCAGACAGCAAAAACGTCTTGGCCCTTTCTTTGCCTGCTTCTCAACTAGTTTCTCGACTGACCTCATTGCCAGCAGGTTGATGCGCTGTTTGTTCTTGAACTTCCAAGAGTTAGAAAGGCTCCAACAACTGCTCAACGTCACCTCATTGACGAGCTGGTTCTCCAAACCTTCGGTCACAATGCTGGACCTCCAAGGGTCTGAGTCGCCGACCCACTGAAGTGCATGCTGAAATGTCCAGGCCAAAGCGGCTGAGAGTTCCGGAGTGTAGATTGCCGAAGCCTTTGTAAACACCCCAGCGACCGGCACATGGTTGCACTTGCCTTGGCAACGCTTGGCAAGTTGTGACAAGTCTATATTGACTCCCAGCAAAGCAAATGACTTCTGGTGAATGGATCCAAACTGGCAGGAATCGCACCTAACTTCCGTAGAAGAGCTCTGTAAGGTGGCAGGTGGTTAGTGTTTGCCGTGAAAGGTCTCTCCATTATGCCTGAGACTCTGTGTACTGCTGCTTTGTGCATGAGCTGGAGCGAACGGCAAGCCAGGATGTTCCCGTCACGTGTCTGAGGGTCACGAGGATCAAAACCATACGGTTGGTCAATGTCTCTTAGAGCAGGCCTCCGCATGATCGAAAAAGTAGTGCACGGCGGCTCCAGCATGAAGGCCCTCAAAGTCCCTCTCTCAACCAAATGGTAGAGCCAGGAAAGCACAAAAACATGCGACATGTTATACTCCTCGGACTTGCTTAGATCAATGGGCGGTCCACAAACAATTCCAAGTTGTTGTAATGCAGCGGTCACTCTTGAAGAACCTGCAAAGATTTCAACAAACTCAAAGGTATAAGCCAGTGGACGATCAGCCGGAACACTTGAAGCTCATCGGGCAGTTCATCATGAAGGCCTACTTTCTGCATCAGCCGCTCCCAAGGTGTCTGCAGTCTGGTATAGGCCCCTTTTGTTTCGCAGACTTTCGAAAGCAGCCTAACAAGATCCTCTCCAACTTCTGTATGAACAATGGCTCCCCTATCCTCCGACGCATCCGTAGCATACAGCACAGGGTCGTAGGGCACTGCAATGTCGGAGACCTCAACTGGGGCAAGCACTGAAACAAGTACAAGCTCACAAGCGACTGCTCTTGGAAGTGGTATCAAGGCAGCCTCATTGCATTCACTGAATTGTGACACCAGCTGGAAGGACTCGTTCAGGAGGCTCATCATAGGCCGTCTGTATAGCAACACTGATACCCAAGCCCCAACGACTGTAGTGTACGGGAGAGCACAAAGTTCCAAGGTCAGAGCTGATAGGGCGAGCCTTTTCTCAGGAGCCGCAGAAACCAAACAGACTCCCCGCAAGGTCGCACGATCACTGCCATTGAGAAAAGCACCAATTGCCTTGCCTTCCTTCTCCGCTCGAATATCCTTCTCGGATGATCAGATTCACGATAGGCCACTTGGGAAGCCTCATACGCTTTTGCAGAAATGGTCTCCTGGTTCGCAGCTCCAATGTCATCAACAGAAACTGCAAAATAATCATCAATGACCAATCCCTCGTAGAGGTCGTCCCGAAAACAGGGCCATGTCGACAATAAGTGAGAATCACAAGCCAACAATCCATGGTCTTTGAGCAGTTGCGTATGCGCAGCGGTGGCAATCTCAACTCCTGCGTGATCACCTTGCAACACGCTTTTGAAAGATGCCCAAACTTTGTCCTTTCTCTCAAGCCTATGGCCTGCACGCCCAATATCCAGCTTGTCACCATGAAGACGACGGTGGTATTTCTGGGAAGAGCGCAACAGGAAGTTCCGATAGGCTGTAGTGTCGGACACCCATTCTGCTGGAAGACCAGGCCCTAAGGTGTTTGTGATTGCCCTCGACTTTGTAGCCCAAAGCTGATGGTAAAAGTCACGCCTGTCTGAAACTGAGATAGCCAATCTCTGTGTCTTGGCATTCAGAGAGATGTCGCAAAGGTCCGGTCCGGCAGGGAGATTTGCAGAAGGTCCTAAAACCCGGCATTCAACAGCATTCCTCCCACGTCTATCGGTCAACTTCCAGAGATTTGTAGCAGTTGAAAATTCTCACAAGCTCAAACTCTTGCCTTGCCTCCACACGGTCTTGATGAAGATAAAGAAGACCTTGCGCGTCCCAGACTTTAGCCAAAGCAGCAACTGTCTTTGGGTACTCCCAGGCTTCAGGAATTCGGTCAATCTTGATGGACTGTGGCTCACGGTAAACCATTGCCAAAGCATCCGGAAGAAAGGAGGTTGCGTCCCAACTTCCAGTTCCAGGGAGTTTCAACCCAAGGTCTCTGTACGGCTCGAGCTCGGGCAAGATGGTATTGTCCGCTGCAACTTCATAGCCTACATAGGCTTTGTCATATGGAGACATAGGCGAGGCCGAAACCTCTGTCAAACGCGCAATATCAAAATTCTCCAGGAGGCCGTCCGCCCGGATAAGGGAACGCAGCCTAGCAAAAAGAAGCTTGTGAACTGCACTAGGTTCCCTCCACAAAAGGTCAGCGTCAGGGAAAACTCCACCACTGTGCCAGAAGTTCAAAGCCATGCAACAAATACGCAAGGCCCGCCCCAACATCTTTGACCTCCTCTTAGCACTTGAAGTGCCTGTGGGCATCCAAAGTTCCCGAAGAAGCCGAAGGCCCTGGCCGACGGCCCCTAGAGCGCCCACAGCGAAAACAATTCAAGGAGCGGGACAATGCTACGTTCCTTGGTGTGCATTTGAGCCCTAGGAGGGACCAACCAGAGACTTGCCCAACTCGTAATGACCAGAGTGATGTCTCTAACCGGCCTCCCATCTCCCCATTGCTTGAGGCTGGCTTGCTGAAGGGCAATCTTTCGGCGAGTCAGTCTGAGGCCGGGTCGAGTGGGCTCCAGTTCCTTCAGACGAGACGAGCCAGCTACCCGCTGTGGATTTCAAGGTTGACTTCACTTGTCTTGAAAACAAGATGTTCATTTTCAGCATTTTTGGCTTTTTCCATCCGTATATCCTCACGTTCTTCTCCTAGAACTACAAGGACACCGCCTCTTTTCCCTGTACCCATCCCGGCTTGGCGATGTATCTTCCTCCTGCTTTGATTGCTGGCCCTTCTTTGGCCGGATCTCCTGCCGTCTGTTTTGGAGGACATCGATCTCCTTGAGATAGGCCAATGCGATGGTGGCCATGCTGGCTGGAATCAGGGGGGAGAAAGGTCTGGCTGAGGCTGTCACTGAAGTCATCTTCTCCTGAAAGAGAGCTGCTAGCGTGACTATGCAAGCCAAATCCCAACTTCCCGCAGCGAACACACTTTGCTCCAATCCCATAACTGCCAAGGCCAAGTACTCTCGAGTCATGTGAAGATCTCCCCGAGAGGCTGCATCGACTGCATGCGCAATGACCCACATAGCAAGGCCTGCTTCTCTTTGCCCCTTGAAACCACCATACCTCTCCAGGTATGTCATAAGGGAAGGGGCCCGTGTGTTGAGTTCCTCCACCGTCCGGGGCACAACGTTGGAAGGCTGCAAACGACGGCAAATCTGCTGCTGGAGCATCATGAAGAAGCGGGATTGCCGTGTCGCCAGTGATTGCTGCAGCTGCTCTCTTTTGAGCGTTCCTCGAGTAGAACTCGAACTTGCCCCTGTGGACCCCGATGCCTCCAAGCCGAACGAATCGCCTCCTTGGATCAAATGGGAGACCAAAGCAGTCAGTGGAAGAGCAAGAGCTCCTGGAGAAGCCATTCTGGTCTTTGGAGGCGGTCCCAACAACTGGAGTGCCTTGGCGGGAGTGGTGACCCTGGCTGGAGTCTGGAGGCCCATAGATACAGGTGGCATCTGGTGAACTCCTCCCACCGTGACTTACAGGATCTGCAAAGGCCGATGGCTGAGTTCCTGGCAATGGCGGGACTTCTGGCTCCGGCTTTGGATCTGACCTCAATGACTGAAGGAGTGCAACTTGGGCCGCTAGGGCCGACACTTGCTCTGACGTGGTGATGCGCTTGGCTGGTGTTTTCTTGAGGGCTGGTTGTCGAGTCTTTGGAGCCTGCTCTTCTCGAGCACTGTAAAAATGGATACGCTCGACGCCCTCTTGGGTAGCCCAGGCCAGGGCTTTGGTAAGAAGCTCTTGGGAGCTAGGCATGGCGGACGGATTTGAATCCAGAAAGGGGATGACATTCACCAAAGAATCGGTGACTGGATCGTACTCACGAAGGAACTGTAAGACTGAATTCGAAAAGTCTGCAACCAGAACGGTGTTCTTGAAACCTGCTGAGGCGACAGCACCCCGTTCATCTTCTTCAAACATGTCAACTTCAAATTCCTGTGAAGGCCCCACCAAAGCTTCATCTAGAAAACCTCCAGGGGGCGACAAGACATCTTCTGCAAGAAGACCTGCGGGAAGAGCCAATAGAAGCCCTCCACGACGTGCATCTAAAGGCGTCACAAATGCGCTAATTTCGAATCCTCCCAACGCAATCTCTGCCGGTATCGCGAAGATCAACAAAGAGGGATCTGGGCTCTGAGAGGCCAAAACTATTTGTTGGCGCATTTCCACAACGCTGGAGTCGACACCTTAGCACCTGCACAGAATATCTGCACCTCCGTGAGGGTGGGCAACTTCTCCACAAAGACAATGTCTGGATACTCTGCAGACAATCGATCACTCTCAGCCTGTGAGCAAACACGCACCAAGTCGAATCCAGCTCCTTTCCGAAGGATCCAGTGCGCCGCCTGAGCCACCGGCTTGTAAGGAGGCCTGCCCTCCGAATGGCACACCCAAAAGGCCTTGGCCCAAAATCCTGCCCGAGCACGCTCCTCTGGATGATGTCGAGAGGAATGGAGGTGCCGTTTGGCAAGATCAATGCAAAATTGTGGTGTAGGTCCAGGTCCCTCTTCAAACTGAATGGCCAAATTGGTGGTCAGGTAGTTGGCCGGTGCGCCCGGAATGCCTGTCCCGTCCTCAACCAACTCCCAATGCGAACTCCCTGCTAGCTGCGCTGCTAGCCCCTCTCTCCTCCTCCGATGGCCAAGCGGGTCGGCTACGAATAGCCAAGGTCAGCTCTCGGACAGGTCCTCTTGCAAGGTGCCCAAATCACTCGTGCAAATAGCCACGAAGTCGAGAAGCTGGCCGACGATGGACAGCAGTTTCCCCAGGAGAGGGGGGAGAAGCAAAAACTGGGGTGACCAGGTTTGCTCGAAGGAAGGTCCAAGAGACCCAAAGTCCAAGAGGAAATCGAATGGCAAGTCCAAGAGTCACACCAGAGAGAAGCGGCAAGATCGAAGAAGGATAGCAATGAGCTGGGGAGCTGAGGGAGGTGGAAAGCTCCGAGAACAGAGAGAGGCCTTCGGCAAAGGCAGCACCCCACCCCGGCATCACAGCTTGAGGCGGGCGTCGTCATCGAAGTTGAGTGGCAAAGATTTCCAGAATTGTTCCTCACCTTTTGCATTGGAGCAACCATCAACAAGCTGCCATGCCTGCCTACAGGGCCGCGGTACCGTGTAGCAGCACAGAGCCTCCGCATGGCATCAGAAAAGTTTAAGGCTGGAATTTCAATTTCACCCAGGCCTTGGGCCCAGGACCAATGCAAACAAACCTTGCATTGGCGCCAGTTGACTACTTCTGTAGACAGTCCATACCCTGGCCTGAGTTTGCAAAGAGCCAGTAGCCACATAGCTTCTCCGGGTTGTCGCACAATTCCAGCGCAACCTAAGTTTCCCGTTCAAGATTTGTGGAAGTTAAAGGCATGTAAAGTATTCATGCGCCAGCAGACTGCAATGTAACTAGTTTGCGATCACCTTCACTCATCTGCGGACCAAAGAGGAAGGTCAATCAATGATAAAGGATAAGGCAAGGACGGTGCACGCGTCAGAAAGCTTCGACCGTGTCCCTGGAACCTGGAACTCAAGATCCCCACGATCCATGTCACAAGTGCCAAATCGGGCCTCATCATGAATTTCAGCAGCTTTGGCCTTCGCAGGAAGACCCGCAACAGCAAAGAAACATTATCATTATGCTTTCCCACAATCAAACTGAAGAATCGGCAAGACTGATGGTTGGCCGCGAGCTTTTGGCCTAGGCAAAAAAAAGGATTCGGGTGAGCCTTTGGTGCGCTGTAAATTCCCTCTGGTCTTCGCCAGTCAAGTCCCAAGACCTATATGCGCAGCCCACAAGTGTTGCTGAGGACACGGCGTCAACTTCTCCGGCATTGCTGGCCTGCCGAGCAAGGCAAGCAACGTCGGAAACATGAACTGGTTTGGCCAAAACATATGATACAACAGCCTCAACACACACAACCCGCAACAGGTTACCTTGCATTGGAAAGATGGGGTCTCCTTGCCAGCTGCAATGAGAGGTATTGAACTGAAAATGATGGCTAAGAAGCTTGTGTGGTGGATGAGCACGTCTGGATGAGAAATGAGAACATGCTGTGTACTCCAAACGCGTGACGAATGGGTCAATCGAAGAGCGTAGTGGGCGGAGTGAGCGGAGTGAGCGGAGTGAGCGGAGTGCGAGTCTTTCTTGTTCACCATTGTTTGATATAGAAATATGGGACAGCAATGAGACATTGCAAACAATTCAACGTCAAAGCTCGCCAGCTTACAAGCAGTGTTTTTTTCAGGTTCGTGGATGCTCCCAGTTTTGAGCTGTGCCACCACACCAAAAAGACTGGGAATCCTTGCAGATGTCAAGAAGTTGTCTGCCTCAAAAGTACAGGATTCCTGTCTCTACTGGTAGGACGCGATTCATCTGCTGACATCAATTTAACATCAATTCGCAAGCCAATGCGATGCGACCCGAAATACACTGGCTAGTGCAGGAGAGGCAGTTGGTTCTATCATGTCCTTCTTGATGAGTCATTCTATCCTGTGTTCATGGTACAATGGAAGGGACCACTCACAATGCTGGTCAAAGCTTGAACGCTGCTGGCACTCCTCGGATTGCAGGACAACTTCGACTCTTCCTTCATCGCATGCATGAACTTCATTCGTTTCCCTGACAAACGAAGGCCGCCCTACCAGACCTGCCAGCATTTCTTACACTCCTCCACTCTTGTGCAACTTGCGAAGGCCAGCCACAAAAAGAGGAGAAGTGCAATGTGCAACGCAAGGAGGCAGCCAGCATGCAGGCACTGATCACAACCTCATTGTTCTTAGTCATATGCTTCATCAGCCTCCAGCAGGGCTCCGCGCATAGCACGAGAACACACCTAAAGCATCCAGATCTGGTCCAGTATGCTTCAAAGTGTGATACAAACATGCCTCAACATAGATTCTTCGGCAACGCAAGCTGGCCTGCAACGTCAGAAACCCACAAGCAAAATGTTCGCTTCGCGTTTGTCACACAAAGCCTTGCTTGCCTCTAGTCGAAGGAGGTGAGCTCCAGAACACATAGCCTGCAACTCACAGCTCGGGCAGAAGCTGACTTACAAAATCTACTATTGTAGCAGAATAGCGCTCCTTTTAGATGTCGCGGTCACAGTTCCTGTACATGTACCTATGGATGGTCATGACTGTCTCTCACGTGGATTCTGACATGCTGCCTTCATGCCCATCCATGGAGTGTCTCTTGCAGTATGTGCAGAGCGTGAAGCTTTTACCTCCCCTGTACCATCTGCAGTTGCTACTTGTGTGGTAGTTCTCACCACTTGGATGGACAGTTACCATCCGCTGCAATGAGGTGATCCACCGCTGTTCGTGGTCCCTCACCATGCTGCTCAGTACAGCACTTTGTTGTCTCTGGAAAGTCAAGTCGCTTTCCATGGTCTCATTGACCTGCTTTGTTGCTTCTAGCTGCTTCTTCAGAAGATAATTTTGATCGTGCAGTTGGTCGATCCTCTGGTACATTTGTACACTATGTTGGGATCGTCGCTCTCTTCCGTCTGTACTTCCTGCGCTGTGCCTTCATGACCTTGTGGGGCCGAGGATGTTCAGCACCATTACGCTCATCATGGCGTAGTCCATCCAAAGTGCTCACACTCCCTGCCAGTGGTCATGCTCACCAGTGCGATCAGTGCCATCTTCATGTCTTGGCCTGTCCTGCTCATCACTTTGTTGACCTTCTTTTGCATTCTGCTTCTGTTTCATTGAACTCTTCCTCGTCGATCTCGATGTCATACTCGTCCACCATGCTATATTGGCTCATGCTCTTTGTTCCAATGTCTGCCGGGTTGAGCAATGTTGGAATTGCCGTCAGAGTCGATGCGTCGAACTCGCCCCACTCCCTGCCTTGAGCTGGCAGCCAAAGAATCGCTTCTTGCCTTGATCTTGGGCCACGCCTCCAGCATGAACTCGACCACACGCTTCACAAACAGGGCCTCAGAACTCCCTGCCACGATAGTAGTGAATTCAGCCTCCGGAAGATGTGGAAGCAGCTCAAGCACTTCCTGGTCTGGCGCGAGCGAAGTCTGCGTCTGTCACCACCTGCAAGAGGTGTGTACCCTGATCCTCGATGTCTTCTAGCTCTCTGGTGTCCAGGATTGACCTGCCCTTCTTTGTTCTCTTCAGCCCGATGCCATATTTGGCAGTTCCATGCAGGTAGCTGGCTGGGTGGACAACATGTTTCACCTGTGAGCTCATCGGCTTTGCCATCATTCTTGCCGGCACATGTATGGCATATTGTCATATTGGGCGTCAGGTCTCTCGCCGCTGATGTACATCATCTTGCCCACGCAGCTGCGAAACCTTGTGCAGTCTGCACAGTTCAACTCATGGCCACACCCCATCATGTTCATGCCTTAACACATGGTGTTGTCTTGGCTTTCTTGCGGCCAACTTCACACGCTTCTGTCACTTGTTCGACGTGCCTGGGGGTCCAGCCTCACCACAATGCCTTGCTCAGCGCTGTTGCACTTTCCTCTTGAGGTACATACACTAATCACCAACTTTCTGGAATGGACCTTCGATCTCCATCTTCCATCCAGCTTTCTTCGCGACGTAGTCGATGAAGTTGTCCATTGCTGCCTTCTCACCTACGAGCAGTAGGTCATCGACGTGAACACTGATCAGAAGATTCAGCAACCTGAACAGTGTCGGTTGCACGCAGTCAGACTCACCACCGGACCTAAACCTTTCACCGTAGAGTGGAAGAGATCAAACCGCTGCTTGGCAGCTGTTCTCTGTCCTGGGAGACATCTCTCAAGCTTGCTGAACTTGTCCCTATACCTGATGGTGTTCTTCTCGCCTGCAGGTTGCTGGCTCATCAAGAATGCATCCTTCACGTCGGCAATCGTCAATTGCCAGGCACCTTGCATCTGCATCAAGATGTAAGCGAACAGTCTCGGCGCGATTGAAGCCGAGGTAGGAGCAAAGGTGTCGCGCTCCTCAAACATGGTGCCTTTCTTGAGCTGGCGCGCCACAAGTCTGGCTCGCGGAACCAGCCGTGTTTCTGTTGTAGCTCTTGCTCTCTTCTTCTGAAATCTGAGATCGCTGGGATCTTTTCTAGACGGCCGATCTCATAGCCTTTTTCATTTCCTCTTTGTCGATCTCGTCTTCATCAAGGACATCGGTGATCAGCATTTGTGGCTCGTCACCATCATACTCTTTTCTCACCCGCTTCACATTACCAGCATAGGTTGGCGGGTACATCCTTTCTGACTTTGGGCTCATATCTTGTTCTCCCAACTCTTCAGCACCGCTCTTGACCCCATGCTCTTCTCCAGCCAACTCTTGCGCTGCCTCGTCATCATCAAATGTTCTCTTTCTATCCTCAGTCTCTTGAGCCATTGCTGCCTCAGACTTTCGTCCGCTGCTCAGTGGCTCTTCCTCTGCCTATTTCCTGCGCTGATGGTCCTGCTGGAGTGGTTGGCGCCCTTCCAGGGCCTGGTGTACTGAATCCAGCAGCCAACATTGGCGTCGCCAACCCCATTGCAATTTGCTTTGAAACTCCCAGCGCCTCCTCTTCCGTTGCATCCATCACTTCAACTTCAACTGGCTCTCTTCGTCTCTTGTGGCCTCCGTGCTTCATCAGCATCCCGCGCCAGTAAAACCCCGTGCAAAATGTACATCAACGCTGTTGAACTGTTCCGGCACGCGTCAGATGCTTCGTGCAAACGCACAGATGCTTCCACAGTATCGCTTTCCGTATTGTAGCTCATAGGATGTCATTCGTTCTGGCAGCAAAACTCTGAACCTGTTGATCAACCATGCACGCACCGCGCTTGGACTCGAAGGTCTCGCCACCAATGTAACGCCTGCGTCGCAATTGGCAATACTCCCGAATGCAGTTGCCCATTCGTCGGACGTTTTGGATCGCCCTTTCTACAGCACCATTGGGCTTTGGTGTTGCTCTTTTCCGGCGGCGCGGATCTCCGTCTTCAAGTTCAATCTGGCTCTTGTCTGCTGCACTGCTTTCAAGATCTGTCGGCAACTTCGTTTTCCATCTGCCTGCAGGATCAAGTCTTCCTGCTGGCTGTTGCGCAAACTGAACCGCACCAAACACTCTTTAGGCTTGCTGAACCTTTTTTTGCAGGCACGCGTAGTGCCTGCACCGCTTTGGTATCTGAGGTTGTGGCCACCAACATTGCCCCATACTGTTCTGGGAAAATCTTCAGGCTTCAAGCGCTCGCCTGGGACCGACTCGCAGTTCTTGTTCGCGAAGGTGTAGGCGAAGTCAAATGCCAACACCACCTGTTCCTTGTGGCCGTCTTCCTTCAACCTTGTGGCCAAACAGGCCTCGCACCATGACTCGAATGGAACGCGCGTCAAGTTATGGTGGTCTTGCATGTCTCAGCTCGGCACCTGCGGCACTTTGATTTGGACTGGCTTTCGCTTGTCCTCCTCATACATCTTCTTCGCTACGCCGTCCTCGAATTCCCACTTCATCTTCAATTTGAAGTTGTGAAGCCGAAGGAGCAAGTTCTTCTTGGTTCCACTGGGCAAGCCTCTGTCAGAGCACGCCTTCTTTAGTGTCTTGCCATCATCCTCTATCGTGTAGACTTTGTCGTTGATGGCCACTTCTTTTGCAGGGTCTCTCTCGCGGTGTTGAGTTGAGGCTCTTCCATATCCAGCGCCCACTTGTCGGCGTCCTCGACCTCATAGGACTCATACCAATCTTCATCATCCCACTCGATCTGATGCAAAGCATCCTTCACTTTCGGGAAGGGTGCCAAGGAGACTTCACTGCCTTCCTCATACTCTGAAGGTGAAAGGAACGTCAGGGTCCTCTGCGGTCCCATGAAAGTACCAAGTACCTAAACGCCTCTTTGCCGTGCTCCTTATAGTCTTTGTTGTTTTCGATCTGACACCAAATGCCTTCTTTCGTGGGATCTTTCATCAACGTCATCCTCTTGTTCCAATGCTTGTTGAGCGTGCCCTTACTTGACGGCCGCGGCGTCCGAGTAGACTGCCACACTGCTTGGCAATCTATGCTATCCTGGGGTCCTTGAAATCGTCATGAGCTCCTTGCTCAAATAGCCTTCCAAGGCTCGAACATGATGTTCTCCTTCTATCTCTGGGCACTCTGTTCGCCCTCTCACACCGTCATCACAGACGTCTTCTCCTCAAGCTCGTCTCTCCTCTTTCTTTTTTGTACTCACCATTTCGATCTTTGCCCTCATATGGACGCTGTGGTTTTCCAAATGTAGAGGGATCATTGATCATTATATCCGTCTTTGGATTTCTCAGGCATAGGCCACATTCTCCACGCTCAATGGCCCAACCTTTTCTCAAGAACTTGCCAGCGCACAACAGTCGCCCTAGAGCGAATTGCTCCCTGATCTCCACTCTTCTGCCATCTGAGCTCGTCACCATGAGCTTGGTCTTTGTGATGTTCTCTCCCAGGGGCGTCCATCATCTTGGCCCTTGCATTGGGGTCATACTTTCCCACATTTGGATACCCATGTCCAATGGAAAGCACTGAAATGTCAGCGCTTGAGTCCAATTTGATGGACACGGTGTCATCTCCACTTGATCCTGTCTCTTCGATCATCCCCACATGGTACTTTCCTCCTTGCTGCTGCCTGTCTGGAATCGCTTGCAGAGGGGTTCCACTCTTGAACTTCCTGGGGATCACTCCCAAGTCCACTTCTTTTTTTGGCGCCGTTCCCGAATTTCTTCTGAAGGTTTGAAC